CCCATCTCCATCCTCATCCCCTTCTCAATCCCATTCCTCATCCCCATCCCCTTCCAGATCTTCATCCCCATCTCCATCCCATTCCTCATCTCCATCCCCTTCCAGATCTTCATCCCCATCTCCATCCCATTCCTCATCTCCATCCCCTTCCAGATCTTCATCCCTATCTCCATCCCATTCCTCATCCCCTTCTTCATCCCAATCCCCTTCCAGATCCTCACCAGCTTCTCCATCCCCAGCCTCATCCCTTTCTCCATCTCCATATCCTGATCCCCTTCTCCATCCCCATTCCTCATTCCCATCCCCTTCCAGATCCTCACCAGCTTCTCCAGCCCCAGCCTCATCCCTTTCTCCATCTCCATATCCTGATCCCCTTCTCCATCCCCATTCCTCATTCCCATCCCCTTCCAGATCCTCACCCACTTCCCCATCCTGTTCTCCATCCCCACTCTCTTCTCCATCTCAATCCTCATCCCCATCCTCATCTCAACCCTCATCCCCTTCTCCAGCCCCATTGCCTCCCAAATGTCCATCTGCTTCTCCATCCCCATTCCTTCTTCATTCCAATCCTCATCCCCTTCTCCAGCCCCGCCATCTTCCAAACATCCACCCCCCCAGCCCATTCCCCATCACCCATCCCCTTCCAAACCCCATCCTTTGCTCCACCCACACTCATCCCTTTCCCCTTCCACATCCCTATCCCTTCTCCCACCCCCAGCCCTTTCCCAACCCCTTTCCCACCACCATCCACCACCACCCCCTTCTCCATCCCCTCCCACTTCATGTCCATCCCCTTCCCCATCCCCTTCTTCATCCTCTTCCCCATCCCCATCCCCATCCCCTTCTCCCTTCCATCCCCGCGGTGTCCCCATCCCTGTGGTGTCCCCGTCCCCATCCCCTCCCCCAGCCCCACCACCACCTGGGGCGGGGGTCCATGCTCACCTCAGCGGGCTGCCCAGCCCCCACCACGATGAGCTTGCCGTCCTCCAACCCCACCAAGATGTGACTCTTCTCCTTGGTGACGGACACGCTGTGGACGGGCACCCGCATGGGCACGGGGGCCACGGCCGCCCTGAGGCTGTGAGAAGATGAGTGGTGGCATGGGACCCCTTGAGCCCCCCGGGCACCCCAAGGTGGGGGGGTGGGACAAGGTGGGTGGTAGCCCTCACCTCTGGAGGTCACGGATCTCCAGCCCGCACTGCATGGTCCCCAGCACCACGAACTCCTCCGTCAGGCACATGGCCGTCACCTCCTCGTCCAGTGGGACGGAGGAGAGGTGCTTCCCGTTCACCGAGTAGAGGTGCAGCGCAAACCTGTCCTGAAAGACAGAGCAACGAGGGGGGAATGCACACGCTGATGGTGACGTGGGGGAGGACACGGGGACACCTGGGCATACCTTCAAGCAGGCCCGTTGACCCACGGAGGTCTGGGCGACCACTTGCCCCTCCGGCCCCACAGCCAGGTGGGAGAGGACGGCGGGTGGTGAGCTCTCGCCGGGCGGCCGCAGGGACCGGATGAAGAGCCCCCGGCGGATGGTGTGGATGATGATGGTGCCATCCTATGGGAGGAAGGGGACGTGGGGTGGTGATGGTGGCACTGCCCACCCTGCCACCCGCCACACCACCCCAGCTCACCTCAGAGCCCGACACCGCCATGTCCAGCTCGGTGCTGATGGCCACGCATGTCACCTCAGCGTCGTGGCCGTACAGGACCTGGACAGGTTTGGGAGCCAAGCCGCTGGAAAACCCCCCCTGGCGTTGGGGACATGGGGACCTCAGTGACCTGGTGGCAGTGCCCACTGCGAGCCACCCCATCTGGGGCATGGGGGTAAGGGTCAACCCCCTACCTGCTGTAGGACCTGCCACACCATGCAGGTGGTGTCCCGGGACCCAGAAATGAGGTAGATGCCGCAGAGGTCGAGTGCCAGGCAGGTGACAACATCTGTGACACCCAGAGGGACACCATGAGCTGCCGGCCCTGTCCCACCAGGCCCCCGGGACGGCATCAAGGTGTTTTGGTTTGGGGTGTGGAGATGCTGCTAACCCCAACCCCAGCTCGGCTCTGCGATGGAGCCTGGAGCGTCCCCAGAAGATGGGGGACACTTGGAGATGTCCCCTGCCCGCTCCCATGTCCCCTGCCTCCCCCCTACAAACCCATTGGGGCATCATTGGACCTTCATCATCGGCAGAGGACGTACCTATGTGCCGGGTTATGTGCCCAACCACCTTCCCTTTGGCCAGCGAGGTGACGCGGAGGCTGTTGTCCCAATGTCCCCCGCTGAAGAGCAGCTTCCCGTCGGGGGACACGGCCAGCGTGCGGAAGCACAGGTCCGCGCCGGGGGCGAAGGGCCCCTGCAGGAAGCGCTGGGTCCTGGCAGAAAGGGACATGGGGTGGTGGCAGAATCACGTGTGGGCTGGTGGCACCTTTGGGGACCATCCCCAGGGACCATGCAGCAACTCACTTTGCGTTGGAGACGGTGGGGTCTTTGGTGAAGCTGAAGTAGTTGGAGATGTTCTTGTCATAGGGCAACCAGTTATGGGTCCCCAACAAGCCGTTGGCACTCACGGTGACCTGGGCAGAGATGGAGGTGGAGGTGACACAGCTCCCACCATCGGAGCCCTCCTGGGGTTTGGTTCTGGTCCCCCCCAGTCAGCAGCACGCACCCGTACCTCAGTGTCCCCACACTCACCAGGACGTCGGGTGATCCCTGAGTGATGAAGGAGTGTGCCTGGTTCTTGGGGACCACGGCTTGCACCAGGGCCACCCCATCGCTGATACCCTGCGGGGAGACAGCAAACTGGTGGGCACCCTCCTGGCCACTCCCATCCCTCAGGGCTCCCCCCCAGGGTTGTCCTCACCTCCACGAAGAAGGACTTGAGTTGGTCCAGGTTCTCGAAGACGTTGGGTGAGCGGGTGTCGAGGCGGGCCAGCCTCCGGGCAGCGCTCTCTGCCGACAGCCGGGCAGGATGGGGCTCCTGGGGGGTGTTGTGAGGGAACCTGTGAGAAGGGTGGTGGCCCCCCAAAAGGGGATTTTTTTTTTTTTTGGGATGGGAGGGTCCTATGTGCTACCTTGAGCAGCTGGCAGGGCGTCTGCCCAAAGTTGCTGATGATGCCCTCCAGGGCCTTCCTCTGTGTCTCGTTGGCAATGGCATCCAAGTCCACGGCCCCTGGGGATGAGGGTGGTCATGGGGGGCCACCTGGCAGATGCCCCCCCCCACCTCCCTGCCCCATGGCTCACCCTCGTAGGTGCAGTAGTAGAAGACATTGAGGGCCTCCACGGCGGCCGGGCCTCGTTGCTTGTACCCAAAAATGAGGTCGATCCACTCGTGGAGGTGGGCTGAGACGTACTCTGACTCCTGTCCAAGGATGGGGCATCAAGGAGGGCCAGCAACACCCACCCCATCCCGTAATGGCCCCCCAGCCAGGGGTGGGGGCAGAAGAGGGATTGGGACGGGCTCCACCATCTCACCAAGGCTTTGCGGTGCTGGTAGATGAAGTCCTCGCGGGAGCGTGCCCACCGGGGCAGCACCACGTCGCCCACCTTCTCGTTGGAGAGCTGCAGGCAGCCCAGGTCGAAGCCTGCAGGCAGGGCGGGCAGGGGGGGGGGGGCACCAAGCCCCGCCATGTTTCCATGGGTGCTGGCCCCATGGTGGGGATGATGGGTGCCCCTTACCATTCTGGTTCTCCAGGAACTCAGGGAAGTAGAAGAACTCGGGGATGAGCTCCTGGACGTCTACAGGATGTGGAGGGTGGTGAAGGGCTCGGTGCGGATCAGGTAGTGCATGACGCCTGCCGCGTTGGAGTAGTGTGTGCCGTAGTGGAACTTGTCCACCGTGCCCGTGGGGTCCTCAAAGCTCTCGTACCTGGGGGTGAGGTGGGGGGGTGTCCACCAGGAGCCACCCAGGGTCTCCCCACGTACCCCCTTCCTCCCTTTTTTTTTGGGACACTCACTTCTCCTTCACGTCCCGGGCATGCCGCTCGTTGGCCACCCCGATGGGCTTGGACAGGTCCCGAAACACGGCTGGGTCGGTGAGGTCAAGGGTCTCCGAGACGTAATCCCGCAGGATCCAGGGGAACTGGGGGGGGGGGGGAGGTGTGGGTAAGGCTGGGGTGGGCCTGGGCTGGCGGGGGGGGACAGGGACACACACGGGGGGCTCACCACGGGGTACTGGGAGAGGTCATTGTAGGTGCGCCCCGCGATTGTATTCAGCTGCATGAGGTACTCGAAGTTGGAGATCTCCCGCAGGACCCATTTCTGAAGCGAAGGGAGGGCGGTGGAGACAGGCTGGGGGGGCAGGAGGGGGCAGACACCCCCACCCCATGGCCATCCTTGGTCCCACAGCCATTCCCATTCCACAGCCATCCCTGGTCCCACAGCCATCCCCATCCCATGGCCATCCCCATCCCTGGTCCCACAGCCATTTCCATTCCACAGCCATCCCAGGTCCCACAGTCATCTCCACCCCATGACCATCCCTGGTCCCACAACCATCCCTGGTCCATGGCCATCTCCATCCCATGACCATCCCTGGTCCCACAGCCATCCCTGGTCCATGGCCATCTCCATCCCACGGCCATCCCTGGTCCCACAGCCATCCCCATCCCTGGTCCCACAGCCATCCCCATCCCTGGTCCCACAGCCATCCCTGGTCCATGGCCATCTCCATCCCACAGCCATCCCTGGTCCCATAGATAGCCCTATCCCATGCTGGCACTCTCCCAGGAGAGATATGGGGCAGGGGTGGGCAAGGTGGGGCTGGTACCTGGGTGAGCCCCGAGGCTTTCAGCAGCTCCTGGGGTGACCGGCTGCCGAAGTAGATCTGGCTGGGGGGACGCAGGCTGAGGACGCAGGAGTACACCTTGTTTCTCACCTGGGGGTGTGTGGGTAGGACATGGAGTGGCTGGAGCCTGGGCAGTGCCATGGCCCCGGGAGGGGTTTGGTGGGGGAAGAAGGGTGCCACCACCTTTTTTTTGAAGTTGAGGAAGTAGTTGGCCTGGTCGATGAAGAAGAGCTCGAGCGCGGAGCGGCGCAGGTTGTAGCGGCGTAGGTGGACCTCACGCAGGTGGGACAAGGGACGCTTGAAGTCATAGCCGATCCCTGCCGGGATGGGGGGGGTGGGGATGG